AGAGAGGGTACAGCAAGAGTTGTACTGGCAGGCCATTCACTAAGATGCTCTTTCTTCTCCGTATTGCAAAAGCAAGACGGAAAGAAAGCTCTGAACATGAAATCACTCCTGTTCTTGCTGCTTGTTTAGAAGTCCCAGCCTGCCCAAACAATTGGAAGCACCAGCGGCATCCCTTACCTCCCGGGAGACAGCTGCCATCAGTCCTTCACTCATGCTTACTTCCTTAACCACAGATCTTAAGGAGCCTCCGTCTAGGTACTCCATCACAATCATAAGTCTATCTCCAACCAGGTAGCTGAAAGAAGAAAAGAATGGCATGGAGAATGGGCATAGCTAAATTACCCTACTTAAAAGACTAGAGTTGATTTCTGTTCTTGGAAGACTCGGGAATGAACACAGGATAAAATGTAGAGACATTCCTCCTAGGCTAGACACTCCTTGGAATCTGTGTAGTCTAAGCGAGAAAGGCACATCCGTGAAAACTGAGATATCTCAGGTGGCAAGGGAGTGAAATAATTTCTAGGATGATTTCTCAGCAGTTATCCTAAGAGGCAGCAAATATGATCCACTTCAAAAGCAACCCCAAACAAACAGCCAAACCAGCCTGGAAAAAGTAATGAACTTACAGGCTGTTGTTTTGGGAAGATAGGGATGACTTGAAACAATGTATGCCAGAAAAGATGAATGCAGACAAAATGCACTCTCCTCCCATCCATTGTATAGGAATAGATAAAAACTAAGAATAAAAAGCTGACTTCTCTGCCAGAGACCAAAGGAGGTTCTTTTAACCTTTGGCTTGCAGTCTGGAAAGGAACAGTCACATGACCATACCAGAACTACTTACCTGTCTAAATAGTTAACAATATTTGGATGCTTATTGTCCCTCATGACAATGAGCTCATCGACAATTTGTTCCTTTTTGAGCTGTTTTTGGAGATACACTTGCTTTATGGCCACCTAAAATGACATTGAAAACCATTAACTTGGGAAGCCTCTCACACAAGACCAGAACAAATTTTGATTTTGAAACTCTAAAGAAGACTCTTGAACGCAGTTTTAGTTTAGATTTGTAATTGTTTCCTGGGTTGAAAAAGAAAGAACATGCTCTCTGGCATTTTCTGGGGATGCTCCGGGTTAGAATCAGTGCTTAGGGGTTTTGATCCCTCATAGACCTCTATCCAAGCCCAGTTCCAAAGCCCAGCACTGCATGGGGATGAGAAACTAGCCAGAAGATTCAGAGGTATTTGCTGACAGCCAGAAATGCGATTTCAGAAGTCTGAAGCTGTAGCCCCAGAGAGCTGTCCCAAATGGATTTGGTAGGCTGGCACTAGTCTGCGCTTCAGAGGAACAGCCTTTGCAGGAACGATCTGCTGGGGACCCACAGCTCCAGCCACAGCTGTCCCCAGAATGGAAAGCACTTCAGAGCTGCAAAATCTGCTGGGAATGTTGACACTTACCTCTCCTCCTGTGGCAGCGTCGGTCGCTACATAGACCGTTCCGAAAGCTCTAGAAAGAAAACAGCAGCGAAGAAGAGAATGAAAGCCAGCCCAGACAGGAGATCTCTGCTGCCTGGAGTGTTTAGAAAACACCTGGCTCCATCTACGCTTCAGCCAAGAGCAGAGCAGCCCACCAGCCCTGTGCCATGCAGGGGATCCAAGAGAAAACTTGGGTGCAACATGAAGGGCTGGAACAAATCTCAAACGTACGGCCCAGATTAATTTAATTCAGACCCCTCCCTAAGGTGGGGGAGCATATCCACAAAAACTGGAAAGTACTATATTTCCTTCCTTTTCCTTTTGGCCTTGCTGAGTGCTCAGATCTCTTACTGCTTTGTTCTCAGATCCCTCCTTTGAATGTCTCTGCCAATCTCAGGCAACACCCCATTCTGAGAAGCCTGAACACATGTGAGGGGCCATTTGAGGAAAGGATCTAGAAATGGCTTTCTCCTCC